GCTGAATGAAAGATATATATATATATATATATTGATTGTTGAAGTTAGACTGGTTTGAGTAATTCTTTTGGCAAATCAAAACCCTTTTTCCCTTTCCTTCTGCAGTTTGAGGATGCTCTTAATGAGTCTGACCCTAAAGAAGCACTTTGTGAACTTATTGATGTGAGGCTTGGAGATAATTACCCGGTAGACGCCGTGTTCAAGGTGAGACCAGTTCCTGGGAAATAATGTGGTAGGATTTTGATTTCAAATTGATAAAAAGGAATGGATGTTATATAATTGCAGATGGCTCAGCTTGCGAAAGCGTGTACACAAGAAAATCCTCAGCTACGACCAAGCATGAGATCCATAGTGGTTGCTTTAATGACACTTTCATCCTCAACAGAGGATTGGGATGTTGGTTCTTTCTATGAAAATCAAGCTCTTGTCAAGCTTATGTCCGGAAGATAGGAACAAGGTGTTGGAAATGGTCTTTCTTGCACTGTTGGTACTTGTTATGAGCCTATGTCGCATGATCAACGTACAAGTTCGGTCGAGCTAGGGTTTAATATACAGAATCCCGATCTTAATGTTGAAAGTGAAATGTACTATAGAACTAGCAATTGTATGTTTGAAATTAGTGTAAAAAAGGAATGGCAATCATTGTATGTTTCAATTTTTTTTTCTGTAACGAGAGATTTTGATTTTGATTTTGATTTTAAAATTTTGTAAATGATACAATTTGAAATGTATAGTTTCAAAATTCTAGTATTTATTATTATTTTCTTTGAGCACCTTGAGCTGCTTCACCATTAGCATTGGTTCCTGTAGAGTCACTAACAAATGGGCCAAATGTATACTCAAGATAATCTTGATGATCTTTCACTATGAGCAATAACGGAAGTCTTACGTACGACACCTTTAATATTAGGCTAAGGTAAGGTGCTACCGGTTTTGTTATTATTTTTTAACAAAACCGATAAAAAAATTACCGGAAACATTATTATTTCTACCGGTTTTGTTATTATTGGACGTTTTATCGGTTTTGTTAACATATCTGGTAAAGCGCTACGGTTTTGTTATTATTGAATACTTTACCAGAAATGTTAAAAAAATTAATGTTTTAGATAGAAATAATAATGCTTTAGGTAATTTTTTACCGGTTTTGTTAAAAAAATAATAACAAAATCGATAGCGTCTTACCTTAGCCTTATATTATGGGTGTTGCACGATAGAATTTCTCGAGCAATAACTCCTTTGAAGTTTTTGTCAAACCTATGCCAAATGAAATAACGGTCTACTAGGTTATATGAGTATCCGATGTATTGATCGACTATATTAGATCGGGTTTTGCAAATACTCATTACAAGATAATCTTTCTAATTTAGTTTATTTCATTCGCAAACATCGGGATTCAAATTCTTAACTTTACTTTTAAGATCAAGTATCTCATTTCACTAGATCAATTGATTGTTTATTTTCATTTACAAATTCAAATTTTAATTGGAAATTTAGATTATTATTTTTTTTAAAAATAATTTTAGGATTTGTTATAATATAAATTAATTTTTAATTTGAGAAGAGGGATGAAATATAATACAGTATCTAAATACCAACTTATAGTTCATTTCCAAAGGGCAAAACGCATCCCATCTTTCTAAAGTTTCATCCTTGGCATTCTCCCTCTCTGCCTCGCGTGTCTTTGGTGTTCTGCTAATTTCAAGCTCTGCCCTTTTGCTTCAACACTGCTTAGTTTCAAGATATGGGTAAGCTTCGTTATTCATTAATTCTTCGTCCTATTGTTAATGGTGGAGGAATCTCTCTATTTTCCACTTTTTTTTTTCTTTTTCTTCTTTTAACACCATCGCTAACCACATTAAAGCTTTAAGCAAGAATTCAATGCTTGTAAAGGGAAACCCAAAAAAGCATTATAGTTTTGATAATGTTGATGATGCTTTGGTTTTCTTTGATAAGATGATTGTTAAGTACCCAAAGCCTTCAACTGTGGAATTCACTAACTATTAGCAGCCATCGTTAGGATGAAACAATATGTCTTTGTTGTTCCTATGTGTAGCCAAATGGAATTATTTGGAGTTTCGCATGATGTGTATTCCTTTAGCATCTTGATTAACTGCCTTTGTCAATTAGGTCGAATTGATTTTGGGTTGTCTGTTTTGGGGAAAATGCTGAAATTAGGTGTTGAACCTAATGTCGTAACCTTTTCCATTTTGATTAATGGACTTCGCAAACAAAGCAAGTTTTCCCAGGCTGTGAGTTTGTTTGATGAAATGGTTGAAAAGGGGTATCATCCTGATTTGATTGTTTACAATACAATACTTAGTGGGTTGTGCAAGATCGGCAATACCGACAGAGCTGTTGGGTTTTTAAGGATGATGGAAGAAAGAGGTTTCGTACCCAATATTGTAACATATGGCACTGTCATTGACTGTCTTTGTAAGAAGGGGTTGTTGAAGGAGGCTCTCGATCTCTTCTTCGAATTGAAGGTTAAGGGAAACAGACCAAAATTGTCATCTATAATTGCTTAATTCATTCTATGTGTAATTTGGGCCAGCAAAAGGAGGTAACTAGGCTTTTGAATGAAATGAGGGAGAACAATATTTCACTTGATATTTTCACCTATAGTAGATTGATCGGCACATATTGCAAGGAGGGAATGGTTTCCAAAGCTGAAGATATTGTGGACACCATGAGAAACCAAGGTATCGAGCCTGATGTTGTTACCTATAGTGCATTGATAGACAGCCATTTCTTGCAAAACGAAATTGATAAATCTAGAAGAGTATTTATGTTGATGATCAAGAAGGGTTGTGTACCTGATATACAAATTTATAACATCATGATCAACACATATTGCAAAGCTAAAAGGTTCAACGAAGCAATGGAACTCTTTCATGAAATATCTCGAACAGGACCAACCCCGAGTACTGTCACACATAACATTCTAATGCAAGGTATGTATCAATTAAGGAGAGTTTCTGCTGCATGTGAACTTTTAAGGGAGATGCTTGCTTCTGGACAAATTCCAAGTCCAGTGACCTGTATGATTTTGTTGGAGGTTTTTGCAAAAGTGGTAAAGCTGAAGAGGCATTGAAATTTTTTCAGTCAATGCGGAATAGTGGATTGAAACTCGATATTATCTTTCATAATACCCTAATTGATGGCGCGTACAAATCTGGGCATATTAGAGCTGCAGAGGAATTGTTTCATGAACCGTCAGTCAATGGTTTAAAACCCGATATTTACACACAGACTATAATGATTAATGGATTATGTAAAGAGGGATTGCCAGATGAAGCTCACCAGTTGTTAAGGAGAATGGGAGATAATGACTGTTTGCCTAATAGCATCTCTTATAATGTAATGATCCAGGGGTTTCTCCGAAACAGCTCTACCTCAAAGGCAACCCAAATCCTTGAGGAAATGGTCGGTAAGGGATTTTCTGCAAATTTATGCACTGCCACCTGGTATGTGAATCTACTCTTACAATCTAATTAATCGATCTTGATTTAAAAAATGTTGGGTTGTTAAGTGTAACGATTGTTAGTTGTGAATGTGAATAAACTCGTTCATAACCATTTTCATTGTTGTGATAAATTCATTGTTTTTCTTTAGAGCTATGTTGAGTGTTAAAGTGTATTTCATGTCTTAGTTGATGTACCTTGTAAACATTAAGGTCTATTTTGATATTATAATAATTTGTATTATTTTAACTTTTACATGTTCTTATACATTTATCTTAAGTATAGTTGATCTACATATCGAAATACAAAATAGATAGCTTGAGATATACACAAAACACTATCTTAAGTATAGTTGATCTTGTAATTTAATAGGAGTATAAATAACGCACAAAAGAGAAAAGATTCTCAATTCTTAATTTGTTTAGAGTGGAGTAAGAGAGGAGAGGTTTCTATTTTTAATAGGTTCAAAATAGAAATAAGAAGATAATTTTATAGTTGTGTTGTTAGCTAAAAGTAGCATAGGTAGTTAAAAAAGAAAGAAGAAAAAGATCTTGAAATAACCCTAGCCTTAGTTTTCTTTTTTAAAGCCGTTTTCTAGTTTTCTTTCAAAGTGTTGCCTTATGCAGTGGTTTAGTGTCGTCGCTTTTCGTTTTTCATTTCTTTGCTAATTTCTTTTGATTTAGATGCAAGTAAACATTTTCCCTAATTCGATTTCTTTCTTTTTCGTATATTCTTGACATGTTTGTTGTTCTTCTGCTTTTATGGTGTGGTTTTGTTTTTCGTTACGATAGCTTGTCATTTTGGGTTGCATTCATCACATCACATCACATCACACCTCCTCGTCATAAAATATCAATGATCTCGTATAGTTAGATCTCTCAATATCAATGCCTACATCAATATTGTGCCTAATTTTGATTAGAGATAAGGAGATTATTGATAGTTGCTAGTATTTTTGGAAGATGAAATATGCATTTAAGGGAAGATTTTGATTTTATTTTCGTCACATCCTTTAAGTTTCTATGTTGGAATTATATTGCCTTCGTGGTACCTTGTATTTTATTTTATGAAAACCTAACTTATCGTTTTAGGGAAAAAATAGCATAGATAGTTAAGAAAAATAAGTAATTTTTCACTTTATTAGTAATAGTTTATTTTCTAAATAATAAAAAAATAAGTTAAAAATAACCTCTAACAATTAAGATAAATTTATCTTAATTAAATTTAAAAGTTATCAATTAAATAATTAATTATTCTTAGATTCTCTTAAAATTTTAATAAAATAAAAACACATAATACAATGAAAGTTCAACATCTCAATTCTACTCTTATAAACTTAATCATGTAGAATGACTTATAAACAAGATTCTCATAATTTTTCTAAGGAATACGAGATTGAATTTTTTAAAAATATCTTAATAATTACAACAATCATAATACAATGAAGAATCAATATAAATCCAAACTTGAAATTAAAAATAATAATAAAAAGTCAAATAAAAAACTATATCAAATTAAAATAAGCAATACATATTAATTCTCTAAAACATGAAATGAAGCTGATTTATTAAAGCATAAAAAATAGTAACACCCTACTAAACTGAACGTATGGTAAATGTGAACTGATTTGAATCTACAAGGGGCTAAATCCTCGTAATTGGCATCTTCAAGCCCAAATCCAAAACCCTAACCTCAAATCCTTCACTCAGCGCCGTTGTCCACCTTCAAGCTTTCATTCCGCAAACTGCAAACATGGTAAACCTCCCTTCATCCTTTCCTCTTCATCTTCATTTTAGCCATTTCCAGCTCTTCTCTTAACTTTATTTTCAATTTTCTGGCTTTCTTTTGCACTTCTCTTACTGTTTTTAATCATTAATATCGGAATTCTCTTTATTAATTTTTTTTCTCTTCATGTTGTTGTATTGGTGTGATTTTAGGTTCTTCAAAACGATGTCGATTTGTTGAACCCTCCAGCCGAGCTCGAGAAGAAGAAGCACAAGCTCAAGCGTCTTGTTCAGTCTCCCAATTCCTTTTTCATGGTAATATGTTTAGCCTTTTCTTTATTTGTTTTCATATCATGATTTGTTCTATATGGTGGATTAACTTGGTTCTCCTATTTCTCTGCTCTCTCGAAGGATGTCAAATGTCAAGGCTGCTTCAACATGTAAGTTTATCATAGGATTTTATGCTAATTTTTTTTTTAAAATAGATTTTTTTGATCAAGTTTTAAGTAGGATTTAGTTAAGGGACATTTGATCTTAATTTCTGGGTTTTTTTAATTGCAGAGCGACCGTATTTAGCCACTCTCAAACTGTGGTGGTGTGCGGAAACTGCCATACTGTTCTATGCCAGCCGACCGGTGGTAGAGCTAGGCTCACCGAAGGCTGCTCTTTCAGGAAGAAGGGCAACTAAATCTGATCCGGTTGCAAGATTGGAGGAAGAGTTTTGTATGTTCCCAGTCTGGTTACCTTTTTTATAAAATGTCTTTGTTTTAGCAGCAGCGTGAGGGGTTCTAGAAAGACTACATATGTGCTACTGTTCTCAATTTACTGGATGGTTTTTGGGTTTAATGATTGCTGAGTTGCATTTGATTGGTTTTCTTTTTTTATATATATAATTATTTGTTTGTGTTGGCTCTGGTTAGAATTTTGCTCAAAGTTGTTTCAACTACATGCTTTACATTATAAAGATTTTGGGTTTGATAGGCTAGTTCAATGTGCTGTCAGAGGTTTTTCTGTTGTGTCTGTTTGTATGTATGATTGAGAGATTGTGAGAATTTAGGTTTGGTTAGGATAGTAAAGGAACTTAGTAGATTGCAATATCACTTTAGTTTTCGTATCAAGGTTTCCTTATGGCCAAATAAATTTTGCAGTTGCAGTGCCTCATGACCTTGATGCCTCTTTGATCCTCGTTTGTATCGCTGAAATGATGTTTCAGAAAAAACTCCAGTTGTGGCTGATTTTTTATTTTGCAGTCCTTTCTTGCTGCAGTTTCATCACAATTGCAAATGCCATAACCAATGCCTGCTCCCGTTATTCCTAGTAAATATGCACTGAGATAAGTCAATACAATTGTAGATCTGTTGAGTGTATTTTCCATTTATTGAGATAGGCATGAGTAAGTGGAATTGGGGTGCTTTAGTGACCCTGAGATGTTTGATATCGAAGAAAGTAAACCTCATGCATGTCTGCCATGGCTATTTAAGCCTCTGCAGGTGGTTATTTGTTACTAGTTAACTGTTGAAATAAGCTTTTAGATTTCTGGTCTTTAGTTGCATGATTAGCTTTGCTTCTGGGTTTAGGAACAGATCTGTAAAATTAACATGCTAATTTAAATAATTTTTTTTTGTATTTAGGTTTGTGTTCCCACATTTAAAAAGTTGTCGATAATTTAACTATCATCCTATAGTTGATACATTGATTGTGCATAAAATAATTCATCGTTAATAAATCAATTGATAATAAACAATCAAAATATTTTAAAAGTGGATCTAAATAAATATATTTTTAATAATGGTAATCTATATATATTAAAAATAAAGAAACACAAACTTATTATTTGATCTACTCTTCATATGTTTTACTATTGCAGCAAACTTCAACTCAACGCGTTAGCTTTGATTAAGCGTTGTCAAAATAATAAATATTAAGACTAATTACTTCATTTTTTCCCAGCACTGTTAATTATTATTATTTTTAATTAATATTTAAATTAGACAATTCATTGAATCACACAAAGGAACTTAAAAATAGAAGAATAAAATATTCAAAAAAGAATAAAACAAAGTTGATTTATTTTGTTGGTTCATAAAAGGATGAGAACATTATCATAGGAAATATCACATCACGCACATAAAATTAAATATTCCACATCTAAACTAAAAATAATTTATTATTTTAAGCCACGTATAAAACATGTCTTGCAAAAGCATTTTCGAATTTGAATTTTTCATTTTATGATATCAGCATGTTGGGTTCATCATTACGAAATTATCATCAATTTGGTCGCACTTCTTTTGTCATTTTTATTTTATTTTTCTATATGAATTCCACGTTTGCGCCTAACGATAACAAAACGGCGGCGAATTAGAAGCAAATTAATAATACTTTTAGTTCAAAAAAGTTACTATATATTTGCTCGTGATTCAAAAATTCTTTGTTGTTGCATAAAATCCAGCGACTTCGATGGTAAAAGAAATTGTCGATATTTTTTGAGATTTCGGGTTGAAGAAGCACCATAAATATTAAGGATACAAGCGTCAAATGTAAAAAATAATTAAAATTAATCTTTGAACAGATATTATCTTAGATTAATAAAAAAAATTCTTTGTTTAATTTCTTATTATAAAATATAACAATATGTTATATTCTATGTTCTTTTGTTCTTAATGTTCGAAAATGAAAAGTTCGATTTTTAAAAAGAGGATAAGGTTATGGATTGAGTTCTAGTTTCATGTGTTTATTTGTTTTTTTTTAATTTCACAATAATTTACCCCCGAAAAAAACTCTACAATAGTAATTAACTCATTAAATACAAAATTTTGAAGGTCTGCTTATGGTTTGAATTTGAGATTATAATAATATTTAAGGTTTCGTTTATTAAAAAAAATCAAAAACAAATTTTAAGAAGATTATAAATTTATTTAACGGATGACTATTAAGGAGAAAAATAACGAGCATGGAAAAGAAAATACTTTGCAATAATGAAACCATAAAGAGATTGATAGGAGTCGTGATTTTTTTTTTTTTGAAAAAAAAAAGTATTAAAATTCTTTAATATATATATTTGATTCTCACAAATTATTTTTTAAAAATGCACCCAATAAATTTAAACTTTTAAATTCCCCAAATAAATGAATAAATGGAGCACCTCCCTATGAATTCTAAAAATATATATTAATGTTTTAAATTAGAAAAATTTAATGAATTAATTCAAACGGATGGTTATTACTATCAATGTTGATCGACAAACCCACAACACTCGGCTTCTTTAAACCTCACTAGAAACTATCTATAAATAACCCCACCCCTTTCCTCCACTCTGCATTAAGCACACTGCTTTTCCATAACAGCATTAACCCACATACTTTTGAGAAATTTCTAGGGAAAAAGAAGAAGAATGGTAAGAGAAATGGAAAACTTTCCAGTGATCAACATGGACAATGGTGAGGAGAGAGCAGCCACCATGGACCAAAACAAATATGCCTGTCAGAACTGGGGTTTCTTTACAACAACAACAACAACAAAACCCAATCCCCATATGTATATACCAAAACCTAGCTACCACCTTGCTAATTGTATTTTGTTGATTGTTGTGAGCTCATTTGTTGCAGGTGCTGAACCATGGAATTCCACATGATTTTCTAGACACTGTGGAAAGGTTGAAGAAAGAGCATTACAAGAAAAGCATGGAGCAGAGGTTCAAGGAACTGGTGGCAACCAAGGCCATGGAGGGCCTCGAGGCCGAGGTTACCGATATGGATTGGGAAAGCACATTCCACTTGCGCCATCTTCCTCAATCAAACATATCTGAAATCCCAGATCTATCTGATGAATACATGTAATATACAAATCAACTTTCTTCAATCAAATCAAGCCATATAATTGAATAATATAATTGCAGGAAGGTGATGAAAGAATTTGCATTGAAATTGGAGAAACTAGCAGAAGAGCTCCCGGACTTTTTGTGCGAGAACCTGGGAGTAGAGAAGGGATACCTGAAAAAAGCTTTCTATGGGGCAGAAGGTCCAACCTTTGGCATCAAAGTTGCTAACTACCCACCATGCCCAACCCCAGACAAAATCAAGGGTCTCAGAGCTCTCACTGATGCCGGTGGCATCATCTTGCTCCTCCAAGACCCCCAAGTGGGAGGCCTTCAGCTTCTTAAAGACGATGAATGGGTGGATGTTCCCCCGTTGCGCCACTCCGTTGTCATCAACCTCGGGGATCAGCTCGAGGTCATCACGAATGGCAAGTACAAGAGCGTGGAGCATAGAGTTGTTGCTCAAACCGACGGTGCTCGCATGTTGATAGCTTCGTTCTACAACCCTGGCAGCGACGCTGTTATCTACCCGGCACCGGCCCTGCTGGAGAAAGCAAAGGAAGATTAGAAGAAAAAAGTGTACCCCAAATTTATGTTTGAAGATTACATGAAGCTATACGCTGGACTGAAATTCCAGGCCAAGGAACCGAGGTTTGAAGCCATGAAGGCTATTTTTCCGGTATATCACCGGTGATCGGTATTATTATCGATCTAACACCGGTCAGACTATATTTCCCGATCTAACACCCTTAGCAGAAAAGCGCGTCCTCTGTATCGCGTCATATACTGGCGTCACGTGGGTATAGCGCGCCCCTTGATCCGCGCTATACGCTACGTAGGGGTATAGTGCGGATCAGGGGTGCGCTATACGCCGTACTAAAATTATATTCAACGCGGTCCCTGATCCGCGCTATATCTTTTATCATATACCGCGGTGCAGGTACCGCGCCTTATATGCTTATAAGTACACTCCTCCGGCTCACATCTCCTCGCATCTCTCCTCTCTTATAAATTAATACAACAATTCCGTCAACGAGTAATAATTCTCGCAATCTTCTCAAATTTAATTTAAAAATTCGTGCGATTTTTCGTTATAAGGTAATTTTGTTATAATTTTTTAATTATACTAATTGTTTATTATTATTATTTGAAAAAATATTATACTAATTATTTTCAATTAATGTTTATGTTTGTAAAATTGAAAAGGAGAGCATACGTCAAAATAGTTTTACGGTACATGTAATAATATAAAATTATATTATTTAAATTATTTACGTTGATGTGTAAAAAATTTATTGTGTTATATTTTCGTTCATATATAATTTATTTAATCAGATTTGTTTAAGTTATTTTTTTTTTGCAGATATAATATTGCCGCACATTTAAACTTAAAGAATGACGCGACTTTCAGCTATTGTTTATTATGATAGTGAAATTCGAGAAGATCAAACCAACGTTGTTTTCGTATCAAATGAGCGTGTTAAAATATCATTCAAGAGAAACATAACTCTTGAGAAGCTAATAACGAAGATTTCGAGGAAGATTCATGTTGGAAGTAACAGAAGAATGTCGTCGTTGCAGTACAAATTTCCAACATCATTATTGTCATTAACTTATACAGCGTTCGAACTTTCGAACAATGATGATGTTCAAATGATGGTTGAAGCTCAAAGTTTCGAACTTTCGAACAATGATGATGTTCGAACTTATACAGCGTTCGAACTTTTGAACATCATTGTCTCCGGCCTCCACCGCTTTATTAAGACAGAAATCAGGTCTGACTCTATCTTACAATGACCCTGATATCTACCTATGTAACCGAATTCAGCCTCTATTAAATACGGTAAGACACGGCTGGGTATCACTAACTTAAGATTCCTAATAAAAGGATCTAATACACGGTCCTTCTCCTAAAAATAAATAATTACAAAAATTAATTATTAATCTAATAATCATGCATTAAATGAATCAACTAATTATTACTAATAATTTAAATTAAATTAAAACGTTAAAATGTTACCGTATTAGCAAAGTGTCGAGATATTTAATTCTTAATCTAATAATCATGCATTAAATAAATCAACTAAATATTACTAATAATTCAAATTAAATTAAAACGTTAAAATGTTATCGTATCAACAAAGTATAGAGATATATGATTTACATCCGAGCGAAGTAGACTGTCTTCCATTATATATCTACAAAAGAATTATATTAGTAAAATATTAAATAAAGTAAAAACATAATATTAAAAATATTATAAAATATACCTTAAAAATAGAGTATTTGAGAGAAATTTAGAGAATTTGAGAGAACTTGGTGTGATAAAAGTGATTGAGGATGGGGATATTTATAGGGAGGATGGGGACGTGAATTAGGGGTATAGCGCGCCCCCTGCACCGCGCTATATCCCACGTGTCAAATATCTAGGTATAGCGCGGATCAGGGGGCACTATACCCACGTGGCGCCAGATTACCGTATATCGCGGGGCAGGGGGCTCGCTATACCCACGTGGCGTCAAATCAGCATATAGCGCGGTGTAGGGGACGCACTTTTCTGCTAAGGGTGTTAGATCGAAAAATATAATCTGACCGGTGTTAGATCGATAATAATACCGATCACTGATGATATACCGGGAAAATAGCCAGCCATGAAAGCCAGAGACACAACTGCTCCCAGTGCATCAGCTTAAGAAAATCATATACCTTATCTGCTTTGAGTTGCTGAAGAAATAACGAGTTCTGCTAATCTATTTTTAAGCTTTCTAATGGCGTGTGGAAAAAAAAACAAAGAAGAATTCAGAGTTTCTTTTTTCACTCATTAAGACAGAGTGATAAATTCAATTTAATGTAATTTTTCAAAATTTAATAATGAAAAATTTACCTAAAAATTAATGATCATGAAGTTTATCCCAAAAATAATAATCACATCACACACTACTTTTCTTCGTCCAAATCTCCTATACGAAAATCCTTCGGTCATAAAAAAAATATAGGATAAATCATTTTTGTTAAAATTTTATATATTTTTCATCGAATTCAAAAAAATAATATTTAATATTTTTGTTTTATTTCATTAAGATATAATCATGTTCATTTTTATTTAATTAATATATAGTCGCTTACTTATCGATTTTAAATGTTTAGTAACTGAAATTTTGACTATTGTTAGTGAAAAATTAAATAAAAATGATCATATTTTAATTAAATAAAAACAAAAATAACCATATATTATGTTTTTTAAATTTTATGAGAAAAAATATACAAAACTAAAATAAAAGTGATCAATCCTATAATTTACCTAAAATTATATAATGCACTCCTCGCATAGTAATTATGACCTCGATCAATATAGAAACTACACACATTTCACTTTTTTTCATATTATTTTTAATATGAATCTTCACTCAATTTTTTTTATATAAATCTAATAGTTAAGAAAATTTTTAATTAAATACTATTATGTAATTATCTTAAATTATTTAAAAAAGTTATTTTACGTCAATATCTAAAAGACTTAATATAAAAATAAGTGCTCAAATTATATATATATATATATTTTATTTAAGTATCTAAACTATTTTTCGATTAGTCCAGGTGTCTAACGTTACAAACATTACCATTTTAAGTGCTCCGACTGAAACGGCGTTAAAAAATTATGTTAAATAACACATGTCACGTTCTGATAATTTAAAATTTTCATTTAAAATAAAAAAAAACTTAAAAAGAAATTAGAAAAACTCAAATTTTTTGAAATCTTTAAAAAACCCCCTAAAATATGTAAAAGACCCAATCGACTACTGATGTAATGATGAGAATTCATGACATAATTTTTCATTCACCCATGTATAGGGTTGCAAAAGTAATTTTTATTTCATATTATTTGATTTTTACTTTACATAAAAATTTGACATATATTTATATAAGTTACTATTTGATACTAATAAACTGTGTATATAAATTTTACATAATATGTTTTTTAGTACTAAATCATAATCCCTGCACCTAAACCTTAAATCATAAAATATAAAATAATATATCTTAAAACCTAAATAGGACGAATGATATTAAAATAAGTAGAATGTGTAAAATAAATTTTATGTAGTCTGTAAATAAAAAATTGGATAAATTACAAGAATAAACATTTTCATTTCACTTCCATTCATTTTTAATCACTGCTTTTTTTTTAACTGTGTCAAAATCCATAAAAGTTATCACTCGTATAATAATAACGAAGTTATTGGTTACAACTAGTGACGATTTAAAAAATAATCACTAAAAAATTTAGTGACTTGCGGCCATCCTTAACGTCACTAAAAATGTGTTTTCTCGTAGTGTAGGCTGCCCAGTGACTATTGATTGCGCTACAATCTTATTTGCTCACGACAAAACTGTTGATGATGCAACTACGTATCATATTAAGTAGCTGGCTCTTTGGTCTCCGGTTGAACAAGTTGGTATTAACGTTCCTAACAAGTATTGTATGGTGCTTGCTGCCTGTCCTTTTAGAACTAAAGAGATGTTTCATCCATCACTAATTGAGGTCCATACTCATTAAACAACTGCTAAAGGATACAGGCTTGCTCAATGTTGATAGGGCATGGACCAGCCTTTACCAAGGTTGCGCTCAGAGAGGTAGCTGGCAGACAACGATGCAAAAATTTATCTTAAGAGTAACAAACTTATAAAAGTTTAGTGGGGACGAATTTATAAAATTTTAATGGGTGAAAACAGATTATCAATAGAAAATATGTAAAAAAAATCTAAAATATAAGAGAATTTGAAAATTTGAAAATTTCAGGGTGTGCGACTGCCCCTATCCACCAGGAGTTTCGACATAAATGTGAGTTATGGTTAGAGCAAGGAATATGAACGAGCATGTCCCTTGGCAGCCTCGAAAGGCTAAGGTTTAATGAACCTCTGCAAAAACCAATTTTGAAGAATGTTAAAACATAAATTTACAGAATTTATGGAGTCTATAAGATTGAATAAACAGATAACTCTGCAAAATGAAATGTTTTCAAAGAAGAGCTGTTTTGTATATGAATATTGATAATTGAGTAGCCAACTAGAATCGTGTGTTTACATTGCCTGAACTCTAGCTGCCTTGCCTGTAATTATTCGCAGAAGCAGCATGACCAGAAGAATAGCTGTAAATCTTGGTTCTTGTTCACTGTAAAAGCTCATCTTGAAACCTTTAACAAAGCTAACAATGATTTTCAAAGTGAAATACGGATTATGGAGATAGATCTATCTATATATCTATTTGGATAATTGTTGCATGCACCATGGCAGGCAGGGAATTACTTCTTAGTAAAACAAGTAGAGGACAACTGGATGAACATGAAGAAAGAGGTGGGGAGGAGATCTCGACGCTGAATATCACAACCGGACATTGCTTCTATGTGCGCCTTTTATTGCGATTCAGGGAACTCGTTACCTATTCCTAGTTATATGGAAGCAGGAACTATGGCATTCTTCTTTGCAAAAGAAAGAAAGCAAAAGCTGTTCAACCGATGCGATTCTTTACTTCTTTGAGCAAGAAAACGACATTGGTAGATGCTTCAAGCTAGAAGTGTCGAACAACTCCATGAACCTCTGATCGGAAACTCTAGCTTTTGCAGCAGCAAACCTTTGGTACTCATCAAAGACTGATGACAGACACCACCTTTGCAGTTTTCTCAAGCATCCCACAAGACAGCCAGTTCGGTGCTAGAAACACAAGAAAAAGAAACATAATCAAACTAAGAAGGTACTCACTTTCTCATACTCAGATACGAGAAAAAAGAAACGCAACATGCATATATACCTTCCCTCGTTTGCAGTGAATTAGAACTGGGTGATTCCTTACATCTGCAATGCAGACAGATAAAATCAAATTATCGAAAAAATAATCAGACATGTTCGGATTAGCCATGGATTAAGTGTAACTGTGTTAAAAGCCTGTAGTACCAAGGACAGCCTTTAGAGCTTCGCGAATCGTATCCTGTGGGATATTTACAAATGGCTCCTGGATGAAATGTGTATATTAGTTTCTATCATAAGATATAATTTCAAAATACATATATCATGCATGAACCGAGGCTTTTTGATGTCTAATTGGTGGACAGAAGATAAATGGCATCCCAATTGTAAAAATGATCCCAAATTCCAAAAAAGAAAGGAAGTATAATAAAATCCTACAAAATATTAGACATGCACATCAGAAATCAGACATTGAGTCACTTTATCGTCACACCGAAATCGATCATACATTTGAGGCAGTTTATTTGATGCTCTCTGAGCAAGATAGCTTCACTGCAGTTACTGTGATCTCCGGCATACATGTGATGAAACCAACATAACAAGCGAATACATTAATACCTATATCATGGCAGAATTTTTAAGTTCCATTTTTTTAAGCAAACTACAACTGCTGCACCAGGCTCAAACGAATCACCAACACCAAAGGCATGATCAAGATGGAAATGGAAAAATGAATTAGAAAATAAGAGTGAATATGCTAATTTCTTCTCCCTTATCTAATTTTTGGGATTAATTGAAAATATTCCCCGTAAATTCCTACCTCACAAGATAATTCAAGTTTCAATTACATCTTCATCATTACTTTTCTCTGAAGTTGAAATTTGTATATATGCTGTCATCAAATTTTAGGGACTGGAAACAAAACGACCTAGGACAATCACATTTGATCTTAATTGCCAATAAAAAAACTTTAATTGAAAAGCAAATTTTAAGAAGTTGAATTGGTTAATAAAAGTAATCAACTTTGAGAGGGAAATAGTTTACCTTGTAACCTTCAATTCCAAACTGAAACAGCCTGATTCCATTGGCCGTCAAAAAATCATTGTTGGCTTCTGGGTATGGCTCAGGACACAGATATCTAACGTTCAAAGAAAAAAACAACCTTTAACTGAAAGAACAAAAATTTGCTGCTAAAAAAGCATTAAAGAAACAAACTTTGGACTTACATGATGGAGCGAAGATGAAGCGTTTGGAGAAAAGAGAAGTTAGCATAGTCAGGGAAACCAGACCTGAAAATGCCATTGTCAACCATAGCGAAGTTCAAAGGAGGGATCAAGTTAAGGTCATCCCCAGCGTTGGAAGGAACCACCTCCGGAGACATGGCCGGCGGCGACATGTTGACGTCTTGGTCAACGGAGGAAACAACACCTGTGGTTCTGCACATCTGTTGTTGCTGGTTTTGGGTTAGTTTAGATGTTGCAGTGTTGTCTTTCATGAATGAAACAAATGGAAAAACAATATATAGAGTTGGGAAGAAAGAGAAAGTGTTGAGGATCAAAGGGAATGTGCCTTTTTAGGGTACGGACGATTCTGACTTGGGCTGCAAGGTGATAGCCAAAGGAAGCTGGTGGTAAAAATGGAGCGAGTTAACTGTTAAGGAAGACGAAGCATGGAGATGAACATGGTTTCTTTATATATCCAAATCCGATCCAACACCATTTTTCTTTTCTAAAGTAAGAAACTTTAGCACAAAAAAGGAGACAGAATACTAGAGGGACCCGAAGCGGCATGAAACAACACTGGTTCTTTATATTTTGGTTTTTTTTAGGGTAAATATATATTTTGATACTTAAAACTTAACTTCAAGTTATAATTTGGTACTTAGACTTTATTTTGTCCAGTTATATACTTAAATTTGGCATCAAGTTTCAATTTAGTGTCTAAATGTTTTTGGTCCAATGAGGTGTCTAAACTTGGTTTTTAGATTTAATTTGATATATGAACTTGATTTATAGTCCAAGTTAATTCAAGTAAGTCGTTTACTATAAGTACTAATTTGAATGAATTGTGAAGTTTCATGTATGAATTTGAACTAATAAGTTAAGATCAAATATCTAATGAGATAAAAAAATGAAATAATATATTAAATTTTAAAATTTAAATTTAAATACCTAATTAAAAATTTTAAATATCAGTTTGTACCTTAAAATTATTATAACATAATCCTATTGAAGAATAAAACATGAATAATTTTACTTTTTCAAAAAAAAACATGAATAATTTTAATTGCATTTCACACATTAGTTAAAAAAGAGTAAATTTTATATATAACAAAAAACCTTCTGGAAATTCTAAATACAATTCGTTGATATAATATTGAAAAACAGTAGAAATTGATTGTAATCAAAAAGTTATTAAAAATGTAATTTTTAGATTGCAGTAATATTTTAGGTTGAAACAAAAAAAAAATGTTATCTTTTTCATAACATTTTTAATTACAACCAAAAAATATTCTAAATTTATATAATCTTTTTTATTATAAATCCTAAACTTTTCTCAAGATAATATTTTAAGTTGAAGGTCATCTTAAATGAAATTATCGCACAATAGAATTATCACAAAACTTAATCTTAATTTATTGTGTAAAACCAACTGTCTAAATTGAAGGATGTCGACAATCATCACATGGCATCAATTGACCATTTTCTCAAACAATACATATTTAATTAAATATCAAATAAATAAAAATTGTAATTGTGTTATTTCTCATGAATTAAGCTCAATGTTTATATTTTATTGTTAAATAAAAAAATATATATAATATATAATAAACTTGATTAATGTAGTAAAGAAATTCATTAATGTAATTTGATGAACCTGATCAAATGTAGTAAAACTTTTGTGAGATAATTAACTATAATAAGTAATTCGCTTTTAACATTATATTTGAATTATAAGCAGTAAAAGAAGGAAAAACTAATAAAAGTGAAAAATTATGTATATAATAAGATTTAAAAATTATAATAAAATAGTTATTTTATTTATTATATCACTTTAGGTTTATTATAGATGGTCAAAATCAAAAAGGGACAATGGATATGAAGATATTATTGAATGAAATAAAAAAAAAAGGAGGAGGAATAAAGAAAAGAAAAGAAATGGGTGGAGGGAGAGAGTAAATAAAATAAAAGAAGTAGATTCTAAAGAATATGCTTTGAGCCTTTATGGAGAGAGACGAAAAGGGAATAAATAATGTTCTGGACTGGAATGCCCAAAATTTTTTGGGATTAATTATACATTTAGTACTTAAATTATTATTTTTATTCTTTTTTAGTAGCTAAATTTTATTTCTTTATTCAAAATCATACTTAATGATTTTTTTTGTTGAATAGTATGTGTGATTACGATATAATATATGTTTAAAATTTTCTCAATCTATTGTATATGTTTAAAATTTTCTCAACCCATTGAAAATGTACACACACACACAGATATATATATATATATATATATATCTTATAGACGTAACTTTTTAACCCATCGTATTTTTTAAGGTCTAACAATCATAAATTGTCTAATGCATCCCAAATACACTAACATCACATCTAGAAGAAATCCCTATATGAGTCATTAATTTTCTATAATATGAATTGAGTTCAATTTTAACGGTTTCGTGTTATAGTTGTCAAATCTATATAAGATTTTTTTTATAATACAAGTTTTGGATGGTTTATTATATTATGCTTTTATTTATATATATATGTTTGTTTTCTTTATTTTCTTTTCGTTTTTTGAATTGAGGTGTGCAATTAGCCACGGTGGAATCCTCAAAACTGAAAAGTAATTCGAGTTCAAGAGCATGGACTTTAATAAGAAAGGGCATTTTTTATATGCATGCCGATGCCTTTCTCTTTATATCGCGAAATTGACCTTTAATAAGGAATCTTCTAAATATTTCAATCCAATCAGTTTATATTGAATTCTTATATTTATATAAATTATTGGTTTTATATTTATTTATTTATTTTGAATTTTTCAGGGTGTTGATGGTATGATCAAAACCGGGTTAAGTGTCATAATGGTCAAACCCATCAATGAGTTCATTGATCTGATTAAGGGTCTTAATCAGAGATGGATATAAGAGGTGAATGGCGCTATCGCCCTTTAAAATTTTTAAATTTTTATATATTTTAGATATATTTTTAAATATTTTTAAATATTTTTTGAAAAATTATTTTTGTCTTCCTAAAATTTTATAACTTCCACTCCCATTTAAAAGTTGATAAGTTCACCCTCTCTAATATAAAATTATGCATCTGACCCTGGTCATATATGATCAAATTGTGAATTGTGTAATACTTTTTTTTGAAATAATTTGAGTTGATTACAAGGTAATATTTGTTCAAAATTTTCTTAATCTATTAACAATAGCGGATGTAGACTTTGCCTAGGGTGGGCACGTACCCACCCTGAAATTTTATTTGTGTCTACCCTATACGGAAATTTTATGTTATTAATATATATGTGCCCACCCTAAAAAATATTTCTTGATCCATCACTATCTATTAACAATGTATACATACCCTACAGATACAACTGCTCGAACCGAGACCCTATATAAAGAATAATATTTCTTTTCATCGCTTGATGAATATTCTAAATTATGTAATATTAGAATGGGTGTGGTTAATGGGTTATTATAAAATTATTAAAAATGTGAAAATAGATCCATCTATATGCTAAGTTTATAAAACCTGAGGGCACTTAGATATTACAACTATCTCGAATTGAGCTTCCGAAAATAAGTAAGCTTACACTAAATAAAGTTAAGAAACGTGTGCAATCATTTTATCAGATGCTTATATGTATGGTAATATTTTTTACTTTAAGTTCATGTTAATCATAAATGCTATGTCTATGATATTATTTATTATATCAATAAGATCTCGAAGCTTACTTTATTTGTTACTGTATCAAGGATACAACTCAAGATTGTGTCATATCTCTTTGTCCATCAACTCCTACAAGGATGACATGTCTTTGAGGTCTTCGTGGCCGTTTTGGTATCTGTGTGTATAATTGTCATGTTAAAATCATGTTTGTTATGTTTACAATATGCTATAGCATGTTAACGTCATGTTATTGATGTAAAAATATAAATCATGAGAGTGTGCTATAATACAATATGATCATAGATTAGTTGGAAGGAAAATGATGAAAAGATGCGTGATGAATACATGTTTGGTAGCATTGCTATGTGTATACATGTTGGTTAAAGTAGAATAATTGAAATTTGGTAAATATATTTGAATAAATCATGATGTTGTTATATAGGAAAGGTGTTAAGAAATGACATTTGTGAATATAAAAGGGTTTTGTAACTTATTATGAGAAGTACTAATGCACAAATTTAGTTAAGCATGAGACTAGACTTAAACTTTAGGATTAATTTGTTTAATAAATGATTGGTATGAACATGAAATGAAGTTCTAATCACTTGATTGTGCTTTTCTTCTTCGGTCAAGGGTTATTTTTAGTGATCGAAACACATTTTTGTAGATCAAAACAATGAGGAAGTACGACAAAAATAAGAGAAATAACATAATTGAAAATCAACCTGATCCGATAATAGAAGATCGAAGATTAGAAAAGATAGAGTGAAAAGGTTTTTTTTTTTTTAGATCTAAGTCATTTGGGTTAGATCTAGGAAAAATTAAGTTTATATTTGGGTTCATGAAAGAAAAACAAGTTAAAAGGTGTATTTGATGAAAATTTGACTATCGTTAATGACGATAGTGACAGTGCCCGACATTGAAAAACAATGAATGACGAACGGTGCAATTAGGACCTAATTAGATTATGGGTTGGGTAAAATATGGGAAAATAATGAAAGTAAATGAGGGAAAAATAATAGATTATATATTCATTCAAAACAACTTTGTTTTGAGCATCCATAGCCACACTAAAATCATATCATCGTACTAACGTAAAGATTTATCCATATCATCATATGGTTTGAACTTTAACAACTCGATATTTATCTTGTATCAAAACAAAATTTTAATATTATAATTGAATTAAAAGAAAGTTCCATAAAAAAACAATATAAAACTTTAGAATTCAATTATATTTGATGTATTTTTTCTTATTTTCTTACACAAATAAGTTTACTATGCTTTTGGCATACATTCGATTCATTGATTTTCGTAAACCTAAAATATCCTATAGAAATAATTAATCATGTAAGGATTTACAACTAACACTTGTAATTTAGTGACCTTTATATAAAAAAATAGTTTTTTTTAAATTAAAAAAATGTAATCGGAGAATAATAGAAAATGAAATAAAAAAAGGAAATGAATCCAAAAACTAGAGAATTTTGATGGAATATTTATTAAATTGTCGTGACAAAAATTCAAAACATTATCGCCTTTACTAATTTAGCTGAATATTATATAGGGATGCGAAAACTACTTGTGCCGATATCATTTGCCAATTCTCTTTGCTTTTCAAAATCCGATCGTCCATTTTCATATTTAACCCAAAAAGCTATCCACCACCCATCATTATTGCCAATATAACCTTTTATAATATTTCACCTTAATGGTCTATTTTTTCATATTCAAACTTAAGTACTTGTTTAATTGTTAAGGTTATTTATTTGTTTAAAAAAATATATTTTTGTATTTATATTTTTATTTGAATAATTTAAGGTGATTATAAGGTTGTATGTGTTTATACTTTTCTTAATCTATTAGACGTACACAGAACCTACATACGCAACTATTCG